GGAGTCATATCATTGTGTACACTGATCGTAACAATCACCTATGTATGATGAAGAAAATATTTAGACCGGAGACAGAACAATATATTTAGTATGAATAAAAGAGATAAGACAACAAACAAGAATGACCACGCTTGCACGACTGAGCCATGCCATCTGATGGATTGCATCCATTGAGATCATTCTTCCTGCCTTTCCCATTGTTGGGTTTTTCTCCGCCTTAAATGTTGAATGTCTATTTTCCCAGCGTCAACCACTGTATACTTGTGACCGAATATCGTTGTCAGTCTAGTTTATTATTTGTTATCAGTACATTTATCTGTGCTGGCATAACAATATGCCTAATTGCATAATTATAGAGTTGTCATGGTGTGACTACTTAATCTGTAAGAACTTACGTGGATGTTACATCCTTGTCTACACTGACTCATTGTACCGCAACAATTAACAATATGATACTCAGTACCTCTGAAGAACATACTTAGGCTGAAGATAGGATGATATATTCAGTGTGAATAAAGACAAGTTATGCAGAATGATCACATCTGGGAGGCTGAGCCATACCATCTGATTGAATGAATATCCCCACGTTCGCCATTTTTGGCCTTCTCTTCGTGTTAAGTGCTGAATATCTATTTTCCCAGTTATCTCATGTTCACCTTTGAGGATTGTGATTGGGATATACACAGTTGTCCCCCTAGGCTCAACTTTATAGTCAGCGTTTCTTACAAAACTGGGGATGGCTAACAAATTGTCTCAACGCGATTTATTTCTCTGGATGGCTGTAATGACGAATGCCTTACTAAATGAATGATTGTGATGAAAGCTATCTGCAGTAAACCAGTCATTATTGTTTAAGATATTCTTCTAAGCACATCTCTGAACAAACAGTCAACGAAATTGATCATCTAATTCCTCTTACCTCAAATACAATCATGTTTTCTAGGTTAGGGCATGAATTGAAGCTGAAGCGTCAGGAGAATAACCTCGATTCCTAGGCAACCTAGTGCGAAGTTTTCAAAACATTTATATTGTCGATAAAAAATTTCATACCGAATTAATGTGAGTATGCTGAAATCAAAGAGGCTATTTACGTCACTGAGGTCTCAGAAATTTGAAATATTCTATACACTACCCCAACAATTTTGCACAAGTAATAATAAATGGCTAGTCGATGAACCCCGTCATAGATGACTGAAAATTTTTTCAGAGAAAACATCCTATCGCCATAAATGAGTATTCAGTTAGCTAGCTTACAACTTAATGAAACTTGGCAGTACGCATAATTTGAGGCATTACCAGGCAACTATTTGCTTTAACTGTAATGAGGATGCAACGGATGTTCTAATTTTACAACTAGTTACCAGTAGCACCTTCTATGTTCGATCGTTCCCAGTCAGATAGAAATCAGAAGTCAGACGAGAAGAGGCAGGAAAGATATATTTGATTCGTTACCAATATATCGAGGACCTTTTCTATAAGCTGGCTAATGAAACGTAGGAGCTGTGTCCCACGCCGTGTTGAAACGTGATCTGGTGCGGATGCATGACCGAAAGCCTTCAGCTAAACAAGTCCACTTAAACAACGTGGTCAGCATCCAATGTCGAACACTTAATGAACTATTGATTTTGGGGAATTATTTACAGCTACAGATCACTGCCCCCCTAGTGAGGTAGTGATGCCCCTAAGACGTGACCAGCCAGAAGTTTAAACCCAACGAGTTTGTCGTTGGTAAACAATCTTCTGATAGCTTGCTTCGTTTAGCAGCGTCTGGTCGTCTTTCCTTAAACTATGGGACCAAAATTTACAACATAACAATAAAGAAATATAGTACAATGAGAATTTCGGTTCTTTGCGAAACTTCGTCGTTCTTTTCCAGCCGTCCTGGAAAAGAGGAAAAATAAAACGTGTGAGTGCATGTCGAAAATAAACTCGTACTTGCGTAGGGACACAAGATGAGCGGAAAAAAATAAACTAATACACTTACAAACAGCGTAAAAGCGATCAGGAAAAAAGTGTTTTTTTTGTTTTTTTATATATAATATATAAATATATATACGCTCAAAAAAATAAAAATGTTTTTTTTTATATAAAATTGATTTCGCATTTCCATGAAGCTGATCGGTTAACGGTTTCATAAGGGATGGGCATTCGGGCATGAACCGTCTATAAAAACTTACAAGTCCGTTGAAAGTTCGTAAGTGCTTGATCGTGGTCGGTTCTGGGAAATCCAGAATGGCCGCCACTTTGCTCCTAAGGGGTCGGATGCCTTGGGCATCAATGGTGTGTCCTAGGAAGTCTAAGGAGTTTGTTCCGATTTGGCATTTCTGTATGTTGACAGTAATGCCATGCCTTTGGAGTTGATCGAAAACAATGTCCAGATGCCTGAGATGCGATTCTCTGTCCGGACTTGCTATTAGACAGTCATCAACATACGCATGTACGAAGTTGAGACCTCGGAAGACGTCGTCTATAAACCTTTGGAAGGTTTGGGCCGCGTTTCTGAACCAAAAGTCATTCGTAGAAATTCGTAAAGATCGAAGGCAGTGATGATGGCGGTTTTAGAAATGTCGCCAGGTGCCATCGGGATTTGGTTATAAGTTTTAACCAAGTCGATTTTCGAAAAGACAGTTGTACCTTTCAAGGTAGCTGTCAAATCGTGAATATGAGGCAGCGGGTAACGATCGGTAATGGTTTTAGCATTCAGACGCCGATAATCACCAGTTGGCCGCCAATCATTGCTGTCCTTTTTAGGGACCATGTGCAATGGGGATGCCCATGGACTATTCGATGGTCGAATTATCTCTAGGTCCATCATGTGGTCGAATTCGTTTTTAGCTAACTTAAGCTTCTCGGGAGAGAGTCTTCGAGCTTTCGAAAATACAGGTGGTCCTGTAGTCGTGATGTGATGTGTAACATTGCTGGTTACACAAGGCAATTTCGATTGCGATTGGTATATCCCGGGGTATTTGTCGAATAGTGATTGGTACAAGGGGTCTATGGTGTGCTTAATCGTGACTGGGGATAACCTGCAACCAGAACAAGGAGTTACGCTAACGGATAACTTAGTGTTTCCGTCTATTAACTTTCGTGAGCGTGTGTCGATGAGTAGATTATGGTGTTGTAACAGGTCTATACCAATGATTGGCATAAAGACATCTGCAACAACGAAAATCCAGTGTATGGGTTTGCGTAAGCCCACGTTAAGGCAGACGTATCTTTCACCGTAAATAGCGATCAGTTTTCCGTCTGCCGCCTGTAAACTTAAAACAGACTCGCGAAGTCTGTCATCGGGATTTGCTGGAAGAACGCTAACTTCTGCGCCGGTGTCGACGAAGTAGCGAACTTTCGTAGTCACATCCGTGACATATAAGAGGCGGCTGTGTTCGCCGGCTACGGTTGCCGTTAACGCGTGCCGGCTGGGAAGTTTCCCGAAATGTTTTTCGTGTCACTCGATTTTGGGGTCGGATAATTGCAAGGTTTCCTGAAATTTCTGGAAAACTTACCGTACTGGATATGATACCAGCAGCAGCCGGGATTATCTGTCTCTCGTGGTCGAGAGCCAGATCGCTTACGTGAAACGCTTCTACGCGGGTTTTTTGACCGACTACGGTCATTGCGAACTCTAAGATATCGTGTAAGCGTGTGACATAGTTCGGCCATGTCAGTCGAGGTCGATTGGGGTTTTTCTTTGACGGAAAAAACCTCGGCCTTAGAAGATCTAGGGATTTCCAAGATTCGATCTGCAGATGCAGTTAGTTCATCTATGGCATTGTTTTGAAATGAAGCCAGCACTGCCTGCACCTGTTGAGGGAGTTTAGACAAGAAAAGTTGTCTAAATAGGCCATCATCGAAAGTTCGTTGGCCGATGACTTCTCTCATTCTAAACAACATGTCCTTCGCAGAACCATGTTGCAAGTCGATATTGTTCAGGAGTTGGTCTAACCGTTGTCGATCAGTTAGGTCTCCTCGTTTTAAAATCGATAGCTTAAGCGTTTCGTAAGGTTCGGAAACATCACTAGTAAACATACTAGGTGTTACGTACCTGTTAAACTCGCGCGGTAACGCCTTAACTACCGCGAGGAAACGTGTGCGCGAGTCCGTGATTCCGTGCATGCTAAAATCCGCTTCTGCGTAGCAGAACCAGGACTCAATATTGTCGGGCCAAAATGGCGTTAACTGAATCGAAATAGGGGGAATAGACTTAAGAACCTTAGGAGAGTGTTCCGTCATAGTAATATAGATAACGAAAAATGTCTAATTAAAATATATCCGGAAAAAAAAATTCGCGAAAAAAAGTATATCACAATATTTAAAATTCAAATAAAGAATAACAATGAATAATAATATTCCAAAATGGAACAGACTCACAGTATATTGACTTGGTGTACCAGATCACGTCGGGTTCACCAATGAGGATGCAACGGATGTTCTAATTTTACAACTAGTTACCAGTAGCACCTTCTATGTTCGATCGTTCCCAGTCAGATAGAAATCAGAAGTCAGACGAGAAGAGGCAGGAAAGATATATTTGATTCGTTACCAATATATCGAGGACCTTTTCTATAAGCTGGCTAATGAAACGTAGGAGCTGTGTCCCACGCCGTGTTGAAACGTGATCTGGTGCGGATGCATGACCGAAAGCCTTCAGCTAAACAAGTCCACTTAAACAACGTGGTCAGCATCCAATGTCGAACACTTAATGAACTATTGATTTTGGGGAATTATTTACAGCTACAGTAAAAAATGAAAAAGAGAAAAATGTTAAAAACTGTGCCAAAATATTAGCTGATGTTAAGTGCAGTAAAATCAGTCCTAGACTGACATTTGATGTCTACAATTCTCGGTCATTTTCTTTAGTCCATCAGGTTAGTGTTAATTGTTACATTTTACTTTTTCACAAAGATAAATTGACTTTAAAGTAAAATATCGCGGTTGTACTTTATATGTAACATGTCATGTGTTCATATTTCGCAGTCGCAGTAAACTTACCTTTAAGCCTCCTCAAGGTGTGCATGTATTCACACTAACCATGCATATATCCTCTTTTGTTAACTGTTTGTGTATATTTGTTGATTATCATCCGCGCAATATTTGTTGGTTGGTACTGCAATCGCCGCGCGGATTGAGTGCGTGGGGATGAATGCTGAGATAGAACCTCATATATTAAAAATGTTCGAAATTAAGAAAAGAATAGGGAAAGGAGTGAGTAAAAAACTGATTTCTGGTTTTTGATGACGAGATTATTTTTTATGGACCCCACTAGAGTAAAGTGTGTTTGTTTTTTTCAACGAGGTCAACTATATGAAAACTTACTCATTATAAATACTTCAAGATAACTCTTAAGAATAATACAAATTTCTGAATAGGTTGTAAAAGCCACGCCCAATGTGTCTATGAAAACCACAAAATTAAGACTCGTTTGACTAAGATTTCGTTTAATTGTCGACAATTAAACTAAAAGTGGAGATATTTGAAGATTTTTGAATAACGCTTACTAAATTACATATTTGCACGTCAGTTAGTTATGGAGATATCAAAATTTTTACATAACCAAAATTAAGTGTTGTTGATATTATAATAAACCATATGTTTGGCTAGGTTGTAATATGATTCTACTAGAATATACTTTTGCATTTCAGTCGTATATATCACTATTTATTAGTTTTACTTATGCAAAAATAATCCTATATCAGAGTGGCAGAAGTTTTTTGTCCTTCATCCTTAAGATGAATGAAATCACAACGAACTTTTCAACCCATTGAGTTGTGCACTTCGGTTTTGCTTCCAATTTTTTTGAATTACCGCAAATTTAACACATCTATATGTTTATTTACGGCAGTAAATCAATGGCCCATTTTATTAGCTTTAAACCCAGATATCTGAAGATGACAACTTGCAGAAAGAGCGCTTAATTTTAAATAAATTGGTAATGAGTTCGTACATCAGAGCGAACGTTAGCACTTGACCTACGAGTTCCAGATACAAATTCTAGATTATGACTTAAGGAACAATCCATATACAAACAAAGTTATGCCATTTTGAACGCAAAAGTAATATTATACATAGACGTGGATAAAGGATTTTCCTAATATGATAAATACTGAGGAACCGCTAGCCTATATACTTTAAAGACGAAGCATAAGAACAATTTTATTTAATATGCCAATTTTCTAATTATGTGAAAGGTGTCCACACACATCAACGGGCAACAATAATACAACCAAAATAGAATAATTTATGTGCCTATTTCGTGTAGACAAAACCACACGGAGTTGACATTGGTTGGGGGTAGACAAGTGTTTTAAACCACGGAACAAAAGAATGTGGAAAAACATGGGAGGTATTTTAAATAGCAGGAGGACTGTTTGCTGAAAAAGATGACTAGTTAAGAGTGATTAAGTTTTCAAAATTTTCAAAAGCGCATCTTCCGGATTTTCACTGATCCTAGGTAACATTATCAAATATCATCTGACTGTTGATGCACCGCATTGTAAAAATCCTAATCAATAGGTAGTTATTTTACTTCAGGTTCCACTCGTAATCCAGATATCTGGGTCGTATTATTAGTTTTTAAATGAATAAAGGTACTAGTCTAAAGCCTGTGTTTGCCAAACGAGTTAAGGTAGAATTAAGTGATCTAATTATGTATACAACTAATACCAGTAATTGTTGGTTTCATGAACCAATGATCTTTTGAACATATATATGTACATAGTCTATAAGATCACATCATGGAGCGAAACAAATACCAGTGACGTGTATTTTACAGAAAGCCTGATTTAAAAAAACTAACTAAAAAATAATCAGTAAATAACGTAACTTCCATGTAATAACAAAAATGAAAACCCAGAGAACTAGTAAATCAGGGTGCATTTTGCAAAACATATTGATAAACTTAGAATCATTACCTACATAAAAGGTGTATGGTTGATCTAAATTCTACAGAACATAATCTTTTCATAAATAGACAAATTTATTTAGTGGGTTAAACTTGTGTTCATATCCCAGATTCTTAATCGAACACTAAATTACAACTCATATCCCGTTATTTCTGAATGATCTTTTATTAAAATAAACAAATGTTTGTTATTTTGGTTGATTACAGTGAACCTGAAAATTTACGTCAGTGTAAACATTATATAAAGTCATCAGGGAGAAAACCTTATATTTAGATTTATTTCATAATGCTAAGCACCATGACTTTTATAGAATCTAGTGAGTACTCATACCTTCGTCCATACATCATCACTAACCCGTTAAAGATATGACGCACACCATGTAGGACTGAGCTGAATGTAGTAATTGGTCAGTTGAATTTTACCGGCTTCATCTTATGAAGTTCACGAGTATGCTGATCCTGTTTCTTTTTCAAGAAACAACTCTAGTCGGTCGACTACAACACCATTGTGTCAGCACTTTGCGGATTTTTTCGCAGATTACCGTGTGTTAACTTAAGTTAATATAAAAAAGTAGATTGAGACGATTAATTTTTCTAAGACGTTTAATTAAACCATAGCTGTTTAAGTGGTAATTTTCATTGCAAAATGATGAAACTTGTGAAAAATATTAAAAATGAGAGAGAAAAAGAGATTAATGCATAGGAGTTCCTATTTAATTAAAATCTTTTCAGTATTATTGACAATCATCATCACATACCAAACTTCTATACAGTCGTAAAACTAGGTTTGTTTTTCATTTTATTGGATAAACCAACAATATGTTGTATAAATTCACTTAATATTGCTTCTTTGAATCTTCCCATTGATGTTTGGGATAGCGATTGATCGGTATCTCTCTTATTGGCATATGTTCATATTGTGTGTATTACCTCGATATTGCCTTAATTTACATACATTATTGGCAAAGACAGATGGTGGCTAGCAGTGGAATTCAGTTTGACGTGCGTTTCGTTCCATTTGTGACTCGTCAGCTGGATATACGTACATCTCAGAGTTGATATTTACTCCTCCGAGACTTTAATCCAATACCAATACGCCATCACGTTATCCACTTAGCTATTCACTCCTGATGTTACTCATAATATGTTGTATAGTTTTTATTCTGTTATCCTAACATCAAAGATTATCGCTAGTGAAGAAGAATGCTATTTGATTTATCGTTAAATTCAGTTGAGTTTCGTGCTTATCAGATATTCCCTCTTCTACACCAGGAAATTTCATATTTTGTCTAACTTCTCACTGATTTCATTCAAAATAATAACACAAGGCTCTAAAACTCAGAAGGGATTTTATGGAGATTTCAGTATTATCATGGTCAAAATCATGAGTCCATTGAAGTTAAATCACCATGGAAAACCTGGAAGAACTGGACGACCGTTTCGTCCTATTATGGGACTCCTCAGTAGTACGCATCCACAATCTCGCCTTGTGAGATTCAAACCCAGGACCTACCAGTATCTCACAAGAGCACTTAACCGATAGACCACTGAGCCGGTATTCAACGGTGTTAATGTCTTACTTCAACCAATCCACGAAGTTTGAGCAACCGTTCACCAATTTTCTTCAGTGAGTTGTTATCTCACAACAAACGTGGTTGAACTCCACTGGTCACTGTTTCCCACTTCGAATCTCGCAAAGCCGTCCAATGCTTCCAGGTTTTCCATGGTGGTCTAGCTTCAATTGGTTCTAAAACTCATTTACGCTTAACTTGACTAATTTGATAGACTGTTAAAAACAACTGGGTTAGATTAAATTTTAATGGGAAATATAAATTTCATATCTTACATGTATACACTTTTAAGTGATACCAAGAAATATAATATATATATATATAGTGATTGTACATTGAATTGTTTTTCCCTAAGAGACAATAGATACAGTATAACACTAAATCTTCAGATTGATATGACCAGTACTAGATAGATACTATGAATTTTTTTCTAACATAATGAAAGTTGTTATACTCAGTTTATTAATTACAGTTTCTCTTGTTCACAGCCATATTTTGGCTTATTCTTGTATAAATGTTATTTACTAGTTTATGATATGATGTGGTCCGTTTTGGCTTGTATCTAAACCACGTTGGTCTGAAATGTAGGATTCGTAGAGTGAAGGCTCTTACTGATGTTTTGGACTCATCAGGTAGAGCCAGGCTGGTAAAAGGATCAATAAAGATTCTAGGCCGCTCGTACCAATCAATACATCCTTGTTGTGGCACAATGTTATGATCATATAAGTCGTATTCCAATTGGCGAATAAGTCACGTACTAATTATCCGGAATTGAATTCACAACAAATAGTATTATATATGCTCATACAAACCAATCTAAAAATCTATATTGCCCATTATCATTTAATTTATATTTCTCGTAAACGTGTTAGCTCCGTTCTTCAAAGGGCCTTATCGCCGGAGACGGATATCCGTCAGGTAAGGTGAGGCGTGACATTTTAGGGTCGATCTTTTCTAACCCCTTCCTTCCTTGTGAGAAAGCAGTATCACTTCAGATGCTGGTTTTCCAAGAGAAATACCTTACTGCTGTCACACCCCTCTACAGTCAGAAGCACGACTTCGCCCTCAGACCTTGAGTTGCTGCTTTTAGTCTTAACGTTCTCGACCTGCTTGGCATGGTAGTACCCACGGAAACATATTTTTTAGGCCATATAGCCCGATCGGGTCATCACAATAGACAAGCCCGACCACTACGTCAAGGTAGCAGCTACGGTCAGGTCATAAACGTACTGCTGAAAATTAAGTTGCATTTATAATTAAGTTGTTAAAGGTTAGATCGAACGTCGAAAAAACCCCGTTTCTTCTTTAACCTGGGTGATAAGACCATGAGCTACGTAAATGTTAGCGAATGGAGATAATCAGGGAAGTATGTAATGATCCTAAAATGATTGATTCATATTCATTTTTGCCCAATATGACACTAAGAACAACTGTATCAATCAGGTTAACAATTTTATAGAATTCTATCGAAATGATACTTTTTAAAGAATAGACTAATGAAACCTAGTAGTGTGACTTAAAATGCTGAGTTTATCCCATTTCCAACACCTCAGCTAAAAGTACTATGGTGTGTGCTACCGATTTCTACAGATATAAGTAGTATATATCATTAATCAAAAATAAAAGGCTTGGTGACAAAAGGTTGAAAAGATAAAAAGAAAAAAGAACAAGAACAAAGAAGGATTGATATGGAAACGAAGGAATAATCAAATCTAAGATGATTGATTCTGAGA